TATACAAAATAAGTTAAAAAAAACATGGTAGTCATATAAATATATTAGAAATATATATGTACTTGAATATTATTTGTACTAGATAAGCATATATAGAATCGTAATTGTTTATTGTTATAATGATATATTAACACTTTTTTTCTTTTTGTTGTATTTTTTCATTTTTTTGTTAAAGCACTTTTATGTATTTTTTTCTTTTTGTAATCACAAATTTTAAAAAATATTTAAAAAAAAAAGGAAAAGGAAGGAGATTCCAATCTTGAATTGGTATGCTAAAGGATGTCAAATAATAACCAATTCAAAGGAGATCAAAGGAAGATGGAAGGAGTATACTGAAACAGTATACAGTAGAGATTTCAACATCCAAGATACCTTAGAAAATATTTCTTACTTACTGGAACCACTATATGCTGAATATATATTAAGGGAAGCTGGATTGGAAAAAAATAGGCATGGTTTTAGAATTGGAGGAAGAAACATCAATAACCGGCAGTATGCTGATGACACTACCCTGATAGCCCAAAATGCAAAGGATTTGCAAGCCCTAGTACTAAAAGTCAGAGAGCACAGTGAAAAAATGGGACTAAATTAAATATAAAGAAGACCAAATTAATGAAGCAGTTACAGCAACCAGCCTTAGAATTGACAAGGAAGATAGCTTCCTTGGTGGGCAGAAGCTATCCACCAGAAGCTATAATGGTGGATGGCTTCTGCCTTTTACAATCAACCATCAATAGTAAAGGAACAAGAAATACACCACAGACTAAAACTTGGTAAAGCAGCCATGAAGACCTTGGCAAAAATATTCAAATACCATGATGTGTCTATACCTACAAAGATCAGAATTGTGCAAGCTATGGTATTCCCTGTGACAGTCTATGGAAGCGAAAGTTGGACTTTAAAGAAGCAGGATAGGAAGAGTATTGACGCCTTTGAACTTTGGTGTTGGAGAAGACTCTTGAGAATATCATGGACAGCCAAGAAAACAAACTGATGGATCACTGAACAAATCAACCCAGAGTTCTCACTCGAGGCACAAATGACCAGGCTCAAATTATCCTACTTCGGATGCATTATGAGAAGACCCTGCTCTCTGGAAAAGGCTGTAATGCTGGGAAGGGTGTAAGGGTAGAGAAGAGGATGACCAGCAACAAGGTGGATGGATTCAGTTACAGTGAAAATAAGTGCACAATCAGGAGACTCAAAAGAACAGGTTAAGAATAGATCATCATGGAGAAAAATCTATCTTTGTGGTTGCTAGGAGTCGAAAATGACTTGATGGCACATAGTCAAAATAGGACCAGTGACAGACCAGCTGTTACATGTGGAAGGGGACATATATAATACCCACTCTCCACAGAGTAGAAGCCTTTTTGTTTGGAATACTATGGTCCAAAATAAAATCTGAAAACTGAAATACATCACTTTGGGGGAACTGTGACCATGTGACCAGACCAACTTTA